CGTGGTATTACGACGTTAAAAGGTACCTCGAGAAGCAAGAGTATCCCGAAAATGCTACGATTTGTGATAAGCGTACGCTTAGAAGGTTAGCATCCAAGTTATTCTTATCAGGAGACGTCCTGTATAAGAGAAATTATGACTCGGTTCTGCTCAGATGCGTGGATAGACACGAAGCAGAGTCGATCATAAAGGAAATCCATGAGGGTTCTTTCGGGACTCATTCAAGCGGGCATTCTATGGTAAAGAAAATCCTACGAGCGGGATACTTCTGGACGATGATGGAGAGCGACTGTTGTGTATACGCGAAATCATGCCACAAATGCCAAGTATATGCAGACATAATTCATGTTCCTCCGACCCCGCTGAATGTTATGACCTCCCCGTGGCCGTTCGCAATGTGGGGAATTGATATGATTGGAAGGATTGAACCAAGTGCTTCGAATGGTCATAGATTCATCCTAGTGGCTATCGACTATTTCACCAAATGGGTAGAAGCAGCTTCTTACAAGAATGTAACCAAACAGGTCGTCACCAATTTCATCAGGAAGGAAATCATATGCCGTTACGGAGTCCCTCATAGAATCATCATTGATAATGGTTCTAATCTTAACAACAACATGATGAAAGAATTGTGTGGAGAATTCAAGATCGAACATCACAATTCATCACCTTATCGACCAAAAATGAATGGTGCAGTTGAGGCTGCTAATAAGAATATAAAGAAGATCGTCCAGAAGATGGTCAGAACGTATAAAGATTGGCATGAAATGTTGCCTTTTGCTCTACATGGCTACATGACATCTGTGCGCACTTCGACAGGGGCAACCCCATTCTCGCTTGTCTACGGCACTGATGCCGTGCTCCCTGTTGAAGTAGAAATTCCTTCGTTAAGAGTGCTGATGGAGACCAAGCTTGATGAGGCAGAGTGGGTTCAGACGAGGTACGACCAACTCAATCTGATTGATGAAAAGCGGCTGGCAGCCATCTGTCATGGCCAGTTGTACCAACAAATAATGAAAAGAGCATTTGACAAAAAGATCCGTCCTCGAAAGTTTTATCCTGGTGATCTGGTCCTAAGAAGGGTCATCATACAAGGCCATTCCGATCCAAGGGGCAAATGGACTCCCAATTACGATGGACCATACATCGTGAAGAGAGCTTTTTCAGGAGGTGCTTTAATCCTGACAGATATGGATGGAGAAGACGTTCCGCTCCCAGTCAATTCAGACTCAGTCAAAAAATTCTACGCATAAAAAGGCCCGCTAGGTCGAAAACTCGTAAGGGCGACTTAGGCAAAAAAAAAAAGGGCATCCCGGTGGGCACAAAAGTCCAGGCAAAAGTTAGGGATAAAATGAAAAAAAAATAATAACAACCCGCTAGGTCGAAAACCCGAAAGGGCGACTTAGGCAAAAATGGGTATCCCGTTGGATCGAAAACCTGAAAGGGCGATCCAAGCAAAAGTTAGGGATTTTAAGCGAGAGGCTGCAGTCTGAATGCTCTTCACAAATGACACGCACACATCTATAGCACCTTGGCAGCAAATTGACCGATCCAACTACTACTCTTCGGAGGCAAGGCATGCATTGAGACAACTTAGGATATGGGAACTGTAGCAATACCGATTTTAATGGAAATTCGAGCATCTCTCATTGCCATTTACGCCCGTTGTACTTTTTTCGTTTCTATTTTGCAGCTACCTCATATAGGAGTTGCTTCCTTGTACGAATGCCTATTCACAGGCCAATCAATAAAATCTGTTTTCATCAAAGTTGCCTCTTATTATCATAAAATGTTTTGTATGCAGAATATGTTTTATTTGATAATCAAACATGGCATTAGAAACACGGGGAATAAAAATTCTCAAGCCAAGATAAAACTTGACGTCACGTCAATGTATAACCGTGTGGGGATGTCATATGCACACCGAGTGTTGTTTTTCTTGCAGGTAGCATTTTACGACAGTCACCCTAACCCCGCCAGCGCACAAAGCTGCCTCCATCTACCACAAACAACTTCGGGTCCGATTCCCTAAGTGAATTCAGAAAGTTTAGAATCGTCTTTTGACTCGGCACGCGCAAGTGCATCCTCAGTGAAGCTAAACCAGAGCATCCCCAGTAAGACTAAACCGGAGCATCCGCAGAACCAAACCGGGGCATTCGCAAAGCTAAAACGGGGCAGTCGCAAAGTTCAACCGGGGCACTCGTAGGTATCCATGCTCGTCTCTTATCCCCAAGTGATTCAAGAGACAATTCCCCAGTGTGCGTAAACTTGGAGCATGTATTCGAAGGGATCCACATGGTAGTCAGTATCCATTATCTGACATATTCACTTCTGTCACCCCCTCAATAGTTCAGGATGTATGGAGGTTTGGTCAGATTATCTCTTCCTTAAACGGTACGATTCAGAATTCAGCAGTGTACCTAAATACTCGCTTCGTCAGCAATTCAGTCTTCAGCGGAGTCATCAACAATCTTCGGTATTATGGGCTCCCTAGTGCAGATATCCCCAACAATCTTTGGTACTACGGACTTCCAGTACCGATATGTATTGACATCCCCAGTGATGAACAATGGTTCCCGACAAGCCTTCTCTTATCCCCATGAAGTTTATTTCTTCGCGTTGCATATAGTTATCATTACATAACATTGCATCCTCAAAAGCGCGTAGCTGATCCATCAGAGTGGATCTTTGCGTCAAAAGAAATTCAAACATGCATACAAAGCATAAGCCAGACCAGGTACCTTACACGAAATACCTGAATTATTCAAGGACAATAATACGTCCCTACAGGAGGGTATCATGCCCAAAGTCCCCAGTCGGTGACCTTCACCTTTTCAATGCCAAACAAAATTAATACACTTTGCCGTTCTAAACCCAGTTCTTGTCTGGTAGTCGGTTCCCTAAACATTCGTCTGTGTCCGTTCCTAAACACCCGTCTGTGTCCATCCCTTAACACTCATCTGTGTCCATTCCTAAGCACTCGTATGTGTCAAGTTTCCTAAACACCCACCCGGGCCAGTTATTCAAACACTCGTCTGTGTTTCACCTTTTGATACTCGTCCGTATCTCCTTTCAATACTCGTCCGTATTGATTCAAGCACTCGTCCGTGTTTATACTTTTTGATACTCTTCCGTATCTTCTTTCAATACTCGTCCGTATTGAATCAAACACTCGTCCGTGTTTATACCTTTGATACTCACCTGTATCTTCTTTCAATACTCGTCCGTATTGAATCAAACACTCGTCCGTGTTCATACTTTTTGATACTCGTCCGTATCTTCTTTCAATACTCGTCCGTATTGATTCAAACACTCGTCCGTGTTTAAACTTTTTGATACTCGTCCATATCTTCTTTCAATACTCGTCCGTATTGATTCAAACACTCGTCCGTGTTTAAACTTTTTGATGCTCACCTGTATCCTTTTTCAATACTCGTCCGTATTGATTCAAACATTCGCCCGTGTTTATACTTTTTGATACTCGTCCGTATCTTCTTTCAATACTCGTCCGTATTAAATCAAACACTCGTCCGTGTTTAACTTTTGATACTCGTCCGTATCTCCTTTCAATACTCGTCCGTATTGAATCAAGCACTCGTCCGTGTTTAACTTTCTTGATGCTCATCCGTGTCACTTATCTAAAACAATCATCATGTCATAACCCATGTTCCTTTCTTCGAACCTGAGATCGCCTCTTGGCTAGGTTCCTCCCTCAAATCACCGTCGAACCTGAGATCGCCTCTTGGCTAGGTTCCTCCCTCAAATCATCGTCGAACCTGAGATCGCCTCTTGGCTAGGTTCTTCCTTCAAATCTTTGTCGAACCTGAGATCGCCTCTTGGCTAGGTTCTTCCTTCAAATCTTTGTTGAACCTGAGATTGCCTCTTGGCTAGGTTCTTCCCTCAAACCTTTGTCGAACCTGAGGTCGCCTCTTGGCTGGGTTCTTCCTTCAAATCTTTGTCGAACCTGAGATCGCCTCTTGGCTAGGTTCTTCCCTCAAACCTTCGCCGAACCTGGGATCGCCTCTTGGCTAGGTTCTTCCTTCAAATCATCGTCGAACCTGAGATCGCCCTTTGGATAGGTTCTCTGTCAAATCACTCTCATGTGTCACCTTAGGATCACAGGTCGCCCGTAGACCTCGTCCGCTGTCTTTTCATACCAACCATTTGTCTTATATTAGCATCAAGCCACGTTACAAGTCCAATCTTTGTCTCTTCACTGAAAAAACAAATTTCTTTTTCCCAGCAGATCACAAAATAAATAAATAAAGAAAACACTTACACTATCTCCCAGAACAAATTTTTGGCATTGGTATTTAATCATCTTCAACCTTGAACTTCCGAAAGGCACGCGCCAATCGTACTTTCAGGTTTAAGACGATTAAATAGGGGCAGCTGTAATACCCCAAATTTGTCCTACCCTTTTACTTCCTGTCTGGCTTACGCACTTTTGCATTTTTTCTCACATTTGGTCATCTAACACATCATGCATGATTAATCAATAAATTGGCATAAGATCATGGATTTCGAGGAATAAGGGTTGGTGTATGGCTTTTTCTCTAACACTGTGGACTTCTTTTAGTGATACAATTTTTGGGTCTCATCAAATACTTGCCGCTTCAATTGTGAGTCATCCCAAGGCTATCTCGAAAGGCTGCAAGCTTAAGCAGTGAGGAACATCGTCTTATACTTATCACCTCCACATAAATGATGATTTATTTCCATGATCGTATAAATTTCAAAGGGGTTCTATAATTACTTAAAGTGCAAATGGTTGAAGATTTTGATATATCCATGGCCATTAAGGTCTTGTTCAAGGATGCTTCAATATGTCATACAAAAAGGTTATCATATAAGAAAATCGTATCTTTTACGAGTTAATATTTCAAATGGTCCTTTCTTCATCAAATGAGGTTTAGCTATTCATTGTATGTTCACGAGCTCTAGGTAAGAGAAGAAGATTCAATAGGATACTATTTGCAAATTGGAAGTTTGTACACTTTATGATGCAAAGCTCTTCGTCGGGTCTATTCGCTTACTTGTATGCTTTGGGGGACTTCATTTCAAAATACATTAAAATCAAAATCTTAAGCTTCTTCAATTATGGTTTTGAAGTGAGGAATAAGAAAGATGCAAGGCTCGTTCATTTGAAGGTGTTTAGGCATATTTTCATTCAAAAGCAAAGAAACTCGACGTTACAAGTTTGTCCTTGGAAAAGACTCTTATTAAATTCATATCACAACCATGGAGTTATATGCAATATAAAATTAAAAAATCTTGGAGATACAAAAGGCAATTCGGAAGAGAAGACTACTTGGAATATTTGGGCTCCATCATTAAAGTTCAAGAGTTCACATTCATACAATGATATAATCTTTACAAGTTCTAAAGCATTACTCGTGATTTGTCAAAGGGTTATCCAAAATCATTCTCGTTCATTCGAGGTCATAACCATGCAATTTACAAGCGGTATCATTAGAACATTACAAGAGAAGATTTCAAAAGGACGTTTACATCCAAAATTACTAAATCAAAAAAACAAGAATTTACATTAAATATTCAAGTAGCCTAAAGCTAAGGAATTCTAAATCAAGGTTTCCCTCATTTCTAAAGTTATTTATCTTCAAGCCACTATCTTCCAAGATTTCCCCATTCCAACCTGGTTATGTCCAAGCCTCGGTCCATGTTTCATACCATAAGAAAACCTGCATAAACAACCATTTTTCAAGTCGGTTCAGTACCAATACGTAATCAAGTTAATTTAATTTGAAATACAAAAATCAACAATTACACCAAGTATTATGTGCTTAAAACAAACCAACACAGAAAAAAAAACCAGAATCTTGAAGAGTGAAAACAAGTAATCAAAATAGCCCTAGAAGATTCCAAATGTTCCACTCAGAATCTCTGCAAGTTACTCAAAGATTGCATTGATCAATTCAAGGGCAATCGCCGCTACCGAAACGATCCCAGATTTCTCAAGATCTGGCTCCTATATATGGATGCTAGTACTGATTTTGATAATTATTTTCAAGGGAGTGCTGAACAGTAATATATGTGCCAACGATCCTTCACTTTATGTATATTCTGCCTGTTTTTTGTGCAATGCTGAAACGATCTACAAACTCGGATTTCCAAAAATGCAGAGCCAATTAAGTGGTTGGAGAAGGCACATGCCTTATTTCTCAGTAGAATTACTGAAATAATGATGCTTCAAGCCGGAAGGTTGATCATATAGAATCTGCTACTTTGGAAAACAATGGCATTAATCCATGGGACACCTCTACTATGAATGACCTTTTGAAGAAGATAAATCCTTTAATGAGGAAATTTGAGGGGTACTGTTCGAGCACTAAACCTTATACAGGAAAAGTGGCCTTATCCACTTTAAAGAATGCATCAAAGAATAAAGTTATAGAGATTGGTGGAATGAAGTACCGCATCAAGGGCTGTGCCGGACAGGGTGGTTTCGCTCAAATATACAAGGCAAATGTCAACAGCGATTCTGATAATGCTGTGGCACTAAAGATTCAAAAGCCAGCTTTCTCTTGGGAATTTTACATGTACCGTCAGCTTGATCAGCGCATTTCTGGCAGAGAAAGGTCAAGCTATGGTTTTGCTCATAGAGTTCATATCTTCTCTGACTGTAGCATACTCGTCTGTAACTATTTAGCTCACGGGACCCTACAGGACGTGATCAACTCAGATGTGGCAGTAGGGAAATCCATGGAAGAAGTATTGTGCATTTATTACACAACAGAAATGTTGCACACGATTGAAACTTTGCATAATGTTGACTTACCAAAAAAAAAAAAAAAGGAAAAGAAAAGTCCTAAAGGAAAAGTGACTAAAGAATCTCTTAATGATTACAAACTAACATAATCTCTAACACTGCATAACAGAATAACTAACAGCTTAACTGTAACAAACCCCTAACCGCATCTTAACTTCCAAAACAGAATTTCTCTTAACCAAACTCTCAAACCAACAACCACTTCTAACAACATAACTAACTATAACTAATTCCTTACCATCTTAGAATAAGCTTCATAACAGAAAATCAGTTAGAAATAACAGAAATTCTCAACTGAACTCATCTCCACCATTGGATCTTGTAACAAACTTCAGGAATCAGTGTTCTGTAACTAACTTTGGAATTTCCATCCAACCATAAAACAAAATGTCACTCTTCAATCTCAGGGACCAATCTTCATTCACCACTCCCACGCTCGAACATCATCCTCTCACTCTTCTCTCCCTCTCTAAACCTCAATCTTCTTCAACCCTCCACCACCCTCAATCTCAAAAAGAGTTTATTTTCTCCAAATCTCTATACTCTCTTCTCTTTACTGTATCTCCGAATCACCATAACCGTTCTGCACCATCGACCTTATTCACATAACATCCTCTTCTCGCCGTCAATACCTCTCAACAATCTTTATCTCCGCAAGAATCTTCAACAATCTGCGACCTTAATCTTCAAGATTTCTATAGAAACCTCTACATCACCATCATTTTCTTCAAAAACAACACACACGCGCAATCTTCGACGACAACCACAACAATTCACAGAATCGCGGAAGAAATCCCAAAAGACGAATAAGAACATAATTGAAAGAGATATGTACCTGAATTCATCTAGTTTGACCATCTTCAGTGTCGCTGTTCAAGAGTCATTGGAGCATCTCTAGCCGGTAAGATTCTACGTCCATCTGTTCTTAGTTTGGTCGTCTAATCTATTGATCGTATCCCGGTAACAAAACGCAACGCGAACGTACCTGAGTTCTGGGAAAAAGCTTGTTCGTTTTTTTGTCGTCGCGATCGAGGGACCGACGGTGGGACCCCAGCGGTTTTCGAGGTGGCGTTTTTTATCAGAGAAGGAGAAGGCGGAGGTTCGAAGGACTGAGATCGTGGCGGGGAGATTTTTGTCACGGCAGCGATGGAAGTATGAAGACGGCAACGCAACGGAAGAAGGCCGGCGGCGCCGATTCTGCTCGCCGCGAGAAGAGAAGAGACTTTCTTTTTGCAATCCCTAAAATCCCTTTCCAATTTCATATCCTTTTTTTTTCCATTTTATATAATTGTATTATTATCTTATATTTTTTATTTTATAATAATAATATACTGAATTTATATAATTGTTCTATTATTTTATATTTTTTTATTTAATCATAATAATATGCTGAAATCTATAATTGTTTTATTATTTTATATTTTTTATTTAATAATAATAACATGCTGAAATAATACAAAAAAAATATGAGTGTTTGTTGTAAGAGGAATTAGTGATGGAATGGACCAAACCAATTGATTCCTGGGCCCATCATTTTTTCTGGTTGCTTTTTGGTTTATTCACAATAAAAAAAAAACATTTTTTTTTATCTTGATGGGCCTAATGTCATTCTATTTTTTGCAGCACACATTGAATCCAGCTTGCACCTCCTAGGGTCTTATTTTCGATACTTATTTCGATTGCGTTTGCCATTAATTTTGGCAATTTATTTTCTTGGGCAATATTGGTAAATAAAAGAGATTTCTTTTCAATTCTCTCGCTTTTTTCTTTTCAATTATAATCATTAGTTTTACTCACTTTTAAGTCATGTGTTTCGCTTGCAATTTTTATGGATTGTATGCAATATTTTGATACTTGCTGCCTAATTTTACTTGTTCGTGTATTATTTCATGATTTCTTAGGAGATTTTGGTTCAAATTTAATCTTCGATTTAATTGAACTAAAATTAGACGTTAGGCTTTCAAATCCATATGCATATTAACATCAGGTAGAAATTTCCCCTTTAACCTAAATCTTTAGGGCTAACAATACATAATAAAATAAGGTTTAGAAATGGGCTAATTCCCCTTTAACTTTTCTTTCCCTTTCGCATACGCATCTAAAACAAAAACCTCTTTTTCTTTCAAAATTCAAAATACTTTAAAACTATTGATGAGAATCATGCTTTTGCTTAGTACGAGAAATGATAAGCGGGTCTCTTCTCGATCTTATTGTTCTTCATCTCAATCATAGGTGTGGTTCAATTCTCAAAAACTCCTTTCATGGCTATGTAGAAAAATGGCTAATATCTCTCTCTTGAGGTCAATCAGTCATTATCTACAACAAAATACAAACCAACTCAAATCTTTTGTGCGCTCGAGCACCATTTCTCTAAAAAACCTTTTCAAGTAAGGACATGATTAATTTACTTCTGTGCCAACGCATAAGTCTCCGAAGGTCGAGCTGCGGCAGAAGGCGGAATTAACTTCGTCCACACAAAAAACATAAACAAACAAAAACATATGAGCCGAACTACGGTAGCTCTGATTCCTTAAAAAGGATACGTAGGCATTGGGGTAGGGCCCAGGCGAGCATAATTTTATTTTCCCTACATTATTTTCTCTTCTCTTTTGCATGCATTCCCTTCAGTAGTATGATAGACAGTAAGCATAAATTAAACACACCCATAAGATAGACAACAAGAGTGGATACCGTAGAGTACTACGGGTGTGTGGGGTGCTAATACCTTCCCCTCGCGTAACAGACTCCCTTACCCGATCTCTCGGTCGCAAGACCGTGACTTCTCCCTCATTAGGTTTTCTCGATGTTTACCTTTCCCTACATGTGGGATAAAAGACGTTCGATGGCGACTTTATTGTTTTGATGATTTTCAGCCGGTTGTTTCAGCTGGCGACTTCACTGGGGAATAGGTCGACCAAGTGCTGGTCCATCCCGGAGTCGCTCCTAGCTCTTCTTTTCTTTTCTTTGGGTGTTTATCTTCACGCTTTCGGTTTATTCATTCATTTTGTATATACTCAAGCATACATATGCATTGTATTTACTATCTTCCATATACTGCTGTTGTACTGTATCTGCTTCTTGCTTGGGTGTGAATGTTACTATTGAGGTAAAAGGCCCAGTACCCATGCCAGAGTGCACTAGGACACCTAGGAATAGAGTGGGGGCATGATGGCTATAGGACGTGGTCCAATTAGTGCAGTCATGTCACATACCACGCTCGGATGAGGTTCAAATGAATTACTATCGGCACCCACGTCTGTGGGTAAGCCCATAGCACTTTCAGGAGGACCCGTGATTTTCGAGTTACCATTATCTTACCCTGACCTAGTTTCACCCGTGAGTGGGGGGGGGGGGGGGGAATTTCTATCTCAGGTACAAATGGTGACTCATATTCAGATGGTTACTCATATTCAAATGATGATTATGCTCAAACAGTGACTATCGGTTCTATTGGATATGCTCTGAAACTCTGTCAATGATTAGGAGGTTCTCAGATTTATTTTCTGAGTCCCGAATCTGTTCATAAGATTGTATGGTTTATGTTCCGGACCTATGATCCTGGTACTTCCAAGCTACGCTGAGACAATACAACAGATATTGGTATCATGGAAGTAGTAACACCATGATCATTTTGCATTTACATCTAACATGTTTATTCAAAAAAAAATGTCAGAAAGATGAAATTATCAACCTTGCATATGCATGTCCACTTTGGATACCTCTCTGGCATAATTTTCGCCAGTAACATTTGGCAACGGTGATGTTCTCAAGAAAACCAAAGGAGACAATCATACTTATTTGTACTATTCAAAGTTTTCCGCTCAAGTACTTGGCCTTCTTTGAAGAATCTAGAGGACCATTTTCGTCATTTCAACCCTATTTCAGTCTTACAGCTACAAGTTCCACATTCTAGGACTACCAAATTGTTCCAATTCCGGAAGGACAATCCTCTTTGCCGAACACCTACCTGTCGCCAAGACCGGATAGGCACAATCTTGAAATTATCACTAAGGCACTTTATTTGAGCCTAAGCGACATGAAAAATAACCTACCCCCAAACTAATCATTATTGTTACCAATTGCTCACACTCCCATAACCTTCTTATATTCAGTTCCGAGGGAATTTCTCTTATTTTTGGATGTCTTCTTCATGTGGCCATTCTTATCATCATGTTGCTCGATTACTATTGACGGTAGTTGAACCATGGAGAACCATAGTGGACAATCATTTCATACATCATACATATCATGCATTTCATAAATTGCAGGTTTGCTGACAGGAGTTCTTATCTGATGATTTTTCCTTTTATTATAGAATCTACAAGACGACTTTCATACATCCTTATCGCACTCGAGCCAACAAGTTGAGAATCATGGAACAGATTGAGCAGAACCAGGCCTCTCCCCGCAAAGACATGGACACCATGGGTGACCGGATGAACCAACTCATGGAGACTCTTCATGCCGTCATCCAAGGGCAGGAAGAGCTCAGAATAAGTGTCACAAAACTGGTAGGCGTTGCCTCCACATCCGAGAACGGTGGACCCAAGAATGATCATGGGGGGATTCCTAAGGAGAACCCACAAATGATTATAGATGACCACCATGATGTCATTGATCTTGATGACCCTCCAAAGGATTCTACGACTGATCTGTCGGAAACTGCTAAGATGTACAAGGCTCTGGAAGAACGCTTAAAGGCTATGGAGACTTCTAAGAAACCAGGATTCAGTGCCGCTGCTATGTGTTTAGTTCCGGGGGTTGTGATTCCGCCGAAGTTTAAGGTACCTGATTTCGACAAGTATAAGGGGGTTACATGCCCAGAGACTCATCTCTGATCTTACTGCAGAAAGATGGCTGCTTATGCTAGCAATAAGCCGCTGCTTATGCATTTCTTTCAGGACAGTCTTGCTGAAGCTCCATTAGAATGGTACATGCAATTGGAACAAACTCATGTTAGTAATTGGAGTGAGATTGTTGATGCTTTCTTAAAACATTATCACTACAACACCGCCATGGCACCTAGCCGTGCGCAGCTGCAGAGTATGTCTCAAAAGACTGGTGAGGCTTTCAAGGAATACACCCAGAG